AATAAACATTTCTAAGAATTATCGAATCTATCTGAAAAATCTGCAAGAAACCGCTCGACTCGAAGCTCAAAATCACGAATTAGAAATTTCAACGCTGGTCAGTGAGACACGTCAGGTCGATGGAAAAACACCCGACAACAGCAGCATTACAACTGATATCTTGTAAAATGATGAATAGGTTTTATGAGTATCTCACGGAAAGGAAGACACCGTCTAATGTACGGAAACAGTCGAAAGATGACAGTTCTGCAGCATTAAAAAAGTAATAAAGAATAGTAAAAAACTATCAGTCAATACGCGACTTATCGCATGTGTAGAAAATCTTCACGAATGTCATATTCTTAACAGACTCATTGAAGTGCTGGATTAATAACAGCCAATAAAGTACACAGCCTTACGAAATGTCTGAATCACAAAGGACCAAATCCACGTTAGATCAGGTGATACAACAATGTATACAATACACGAATTCGTTGTGCACAGGATCTAGTGAGTACGAAAAAGCAAGGGAAAACAACTTCGAAATGAACAGAACTCTTAAATCACTAAGAGAACAAGAGTCAAACTAACATGCATCTATTTAATAAAGGCAACAGAATCTGGCTCCTTGACAAACGTTAATCTCTCCGTTATCAGCCGATTCGAATTCCAGGGTAGGCAGCGATTTATGGAATTTCTTGAAACTGTTTCACAGCGCAGCTTTCAATATTAATGGACAAAACTGATTAAGGGAACACAAAATAGCCTATCAACGGATAAAAACTAGCCCATTTCTGACGCAGCTACAGTATTGCACGCGCTCTGTGAAGAAAGAAGCAAAATTGATATTTGCTTCACCTGAATCTCGAGAAAACACTAAGATACGGCCAGTGATTCTCTGCCAGCGGAAAACAAAGGACTGCTGAAGTCAGCTTATCATACCAGAGACAGGAAATCACAATGCAACACGAGATGATAAGAGTACTTTTCAGGACAACAGTCGGCTGATAGGGATGTAACGCCGTTTATGATAACTCAAAAGGACAGGCTGACGCTAAAATTAACGGTCAGCTCTTCAACGCTAACAGTCAGTCCACGATGGCTACGATAATTTTAGATGATTTGAGCTTCGCTTAAGGCTACAATTCTCCTTGAACCGCTATAACTACCGATTTTGATAATCAAAACAAAACGTATAGCCGTTTGTTATCAAAATGACGACCGAAGCATTAAGGAAAAGAAAAACCTACAACTTTTCGTTGCCCATCATCCGAATGTACGTCGCTATACATTTCCATCATGGGCATTTTTAGTGGGTTTTCTTATCCCCGAACTTATAACGCAATGATGGTCGATCTCATTTTTGCAGCCATCACTTAGGGGAGCATTAATCTTCTGAGTACAATACTTACAGTTAAGTAATCAATCTGATGTGGTTTAGTCTAACGTTTCTTTCCAAAGAAATGATCCTCAAAAGATCAAAAATAAATATGACGAGGAATCGTTCCCGGATCATTGAGAGATTGGAGTAGACCAGAGTTGTTAAGTTGGTAAAGAATGCAACGCAGAACCGAAAGGATCACTTCAGTTTGTTCCTTCCGACGGTGATAAATGAGTGCGACTGCGTGGGAAAGAAACAGGAGTCTATACATTATGCTTGGTACATAATTGCTGTCAACTCTGACTTTAAAAAATAAGACATATTGAGCTAAGAGTATCGTCCAGACAGCGATCAGTATCAGATCATCAACGTCATGAAAAATTAAGGAAGACCCACATCACGATGTTTACAAACTTTCATTTTCCGCCCTTGACCTCCTCTGAGGGCGCATTACTGACACGCTCAAAAGGTTGGAAAACGTCAATGCGGTGGTTCGAGCTAAAGTGTTGGCCGATCCGGTTATAAAGGGCCGCAAAAACGCAGCTGCTCAACGGTTACTTCATAAACAACGCTAAACAGAAACCGACGCGGACGCAGAAGCGGAGACCACCTATGATGACCATCAACGTTGCTTTGTGACTACTTTCGAAGACGTCAGCAATAAAATAAAACCGTATACTGCTATCTGTCTCTCACGATGAATCCTGCGATACTGTAACAAAGTTTAACCTTTAAAAGCTGAATATAACTACAAAATAGCAAACACAGTATATAATAATACCAAAAATAAATCCCGTTATTACACTGATTTCCTAGCCTGACTTAATTTTCAATACCACCGGTAAAAATAACTATTATGCTGTCAGTGCTCTAGATTTGCGCAGCGTGGTAGAATCGTCCCCTTGCTTCTACTAGCCTAAAGGACTGCTTAAGCAGGCCACGGTTGCATGATATTTTAACATCTTAAGTGCATGGGTGCAAAACAAACAAAAAATGGGTTTATTTTAGGCATATATGCCTACCGACTTAGGAATACGCTGGTTTTCGACCCAATAAAGTGGTGCACTTTAGCACCTATACACTACAGATGATAAAATACCATAGAGCTAGCGTGATTTAGCGATCCTCCTGACTAACTGAAGCAAGGAGACTGTGCTACACCGCGCAAATCTGGATAACTGATAAGAGAATATAAAAACTATATCGATTCGCGTAAACACGCCCACACGTTCATATATATACTTATAAATATAGACAGACAAGTAAGGATAGCATATATTCTACAAAAGTTCAATCTCATGCCCATGGTGTCACGGAATTCCGGTATCAAGAAAAGTATAGGACCAAACACAAACACTAAGTACGCTAACGAGACACTGATAATCATGAACTGACAAGGTTAACAAATACCATTACGTCCTTGAGGCATGAGACCCGAAAACACAAAAACAGAAGCTGAAACGAAAAAGTTTCATGCAGCTGTATTCCTGCATATTCAAAAGTATCCAACGTGCGGTTTTTCCTGATAGAGAGGGCGTCATCTGAACTGGATACACATATAAAGTCATTCACAGCATATTTAGAAGCACATTTACATGAGGTATTCAGATAGAAAAACAGCACAAAAATGATATATTTATATAAAACGAAATACACCTGATCTATCGGGTGATAAACCTGAATCTATAATGCAATAGTCATACACATCAAGCTGTGTATAAATAAACCTTCAAGTACCGTTTTTCGAAATACTTGCATAAAACACTGAAGACCCAAATACACAATTATATGATCTCCATAAATCGAAACACCTCCCATAAGTGAGGATAAACGATATTCCAAGTAAGACGAAGTGTTTGGATCTCACAATCACTAAGCTCGTGAAAGCTTTTTGCAAATATCGACGTTGTCGATTAGGGAAGCGGTGGTATTCTAGTGCTGAAAACATCCTCAACAAACTGGACTTCTTTTGAAAGATACGACACTGACAATTAAATTGGAGGAGAAAAGGAAAGGGGCCTGCTTAACGTCTATCTACCAAATGACTACAAGTCCGAAAAGAAAAATGCACGTGGCGTAATTCGTATATATCCCTGCAGTGACTATAACCCCTGAGAAGCAATGAAAGAGGCCCCCGTTCGCGTATACCCTACATGTGACTACAAACCCGAAGAAGGACTACGGACATAATTCACATCTATGCCTCTATTTGAATCCATCACAGACACACTTGTTATCGCACGCCAAACAGCCACAAAAATAATGAACGAACGAATGGTAAACATACAAAGAATGTATGCCCGCAGGCAGCCGCATAAATATATGGAAATACAGACAAGCTTAAATTGCATAATATAAGTGTATAAATACGATACAAGATAAAAAACAGTTATCCAGATACACCTGCTTAGTAGGTTACACATAAGTACAAAAGGAAGAGCATACGTCAGCTGGAATTTTCACAGCTCTATATGATGCAGCTGGTCGTATGACAACAACAACAACCAAGGCAACCACGTTTCTTGCTGTCCATGGGTCTGAAGTGAGTGGCAGTAATTTAGCATCTGACTGATAAAAGTAAGTGTTGCCTTTATGTGCAATTAAGCCATTTTTATTGGCATGCACAAGTGCATCATCAGCCTTTTTTTGTTCCACTGCTGGATGAAAGCTTCTCTGAGATTTGCATAAATGCATATATGGACATAAATTAATAATATAATGCACAAGTCATTTAAGATTCGGTTTCAAGGCGCTATTACCTACAGGTGCTTGGGGATTCATAGGGTTAAGTAGACTACGGTACATAGCCTATGTGCACCTGCAGCATTGGCTACAAACTATCATTTTGTTTGCTAGATCAACCTCCTGTTGACTGCAAGCGACGTTTCTGGATCTGCTATTTCATATATGCTTCAATGCAAAGATCAAGAGAAAAAAATAGAAAGTTAGTCAACGGTGGATTGACAATCTTTATTCACCTTCATGATTGAGCCATTTTTGAGCCCTTCTTGTCATGAAGTTCATGGTGCGGTGATGATCGTTTTTATGCCATCAACCAGGAGTACATTATTCCTTAAGGTAGAGCCTGTGGCAAGAGCATATAGTCTCCTATGTCCTTCCTACAGAGTGGTACTCGTTTATCAACATCGTAAGAAAGAAGGGCATGTGACCCAGACTGGAGTCTGAACTCGGGATCTATCGGTTCTAAGTTTCATGCTCTACCGACTGAGCAACCCCGGCCGAAAGAAGTGTGGTAAATCCTTTGCACTAGGGAATTAATAAATAAGACAAAGACTGCTATCGAGCGGAATCGTACCCTGCACCTCCAGTCTGTGAACACTGTACCACAACACAACACGCTAACATCAAAATATAGGTTGATACAAAGAAACGTATAAAGAGAGATACATAAACACAGACCGAATAGGAATATACACACATTAGGAAGCACACATACAAATACAGCGATAAACGAATATATGCCCATATACAGAAATATTCATGTATACATAAACATTCAGTTTGTTTCATGCTTGACGGTTTAATTTCTGTTTAGGTGTAGCCTATGACAAAAACAAGAAAGGCTGAATCTGGCAGAAAATTAATATAACTTTATACAATGATTTCGGTAAAATCATTTTTATCGATGGCAACCGTGAAGAAATTTAAACAGATAGCCCAACGAAATACTGAAAAACCTAGTCAAAGTAAGGAATAGGAATGGAACATCAAGCAGAAAATCTTCATCAGAAAAGGAACATCATCCATACCGAGATCTACCTACCTGGACCTCTTTCTTCATTGGAGTACACGAATATCGACTGAACGGCTAAACGACACTAATAACGACTCATTAGGAGGATAAGGTAATGCGTGCACTTCGGAAATGATTGCATTCGCCAATTATCTAACAGCAGTAGCCATAGGCTATTCAACGGAATCAAACCTTTACAAAATTTTGGAACAAAAATGGACATCAATCACGATTAAGATGCATCTTTGCGCCACACAGCAAATGTGAACGTACAAACACCATCACAGCTAGAAACCAGCTTCAAAGCAGTCTCAAAACCGCCCGTACAAAAAGTTAATCAAGGCCTGTTACGACTGTTACGACAGAATTCCTTCGCCAAGTGCAACGAACTCGAATAAACGAAAAAGAACCAGACGACGTCGACGAAGACATATTCAATGAACATGCTTAGACGAGAAAAAAGCAAGCAGCAGTAGATTTACAGCTACCCGGGAAAGAAACAAAAAAATCAGAAAAATTGGTACCTTTGTAATGGTATGCACTTCGGCAATGATCTTGTCGAAAGCCGACTGCTCTTCGTTCAATTTTCGTTTCTGAATCGCAATCTTTTCGCTGAACTTTCGTGGATTGGTGGCGCTCATGGCAACGTTGTAATCGGAAGCAAACGTTTTTATCCTTATTTAGCCAGCAACGAAACGTCCCACTGCATCTGACGATGTTTTCACAAGCAAACTGGTATAAAACAAGTCATTTAATAGCAAATATACATCACGCACAGACTACAGAAAAACAATTAATATACTAAAAATGCTTAAGTTCACTTTGTACCTGCTGCAAACCATAACCTGTTTTTCCGAATACAGCATTTTTGCACAAAACTGCCAAATCTGGAATTAGCGAAAAAACTAAAATTTAAGAAACTTCGAAAACAATGTGCAATACTTCACCGAATTTTCGAACGTACCGTAGATTTTAATTATGCAAAATTTACGACTGCATCTCCTGATTAGCTCCAACTCTAAGTTTACAGTACGACTTCGAGAAAATTCGAACCGCGTACTTTCAATTCACCCTCCAGGTAGGGATGACATTTACTGACCTATTAAGCAACTGGCTGATTTATTCATCGCTAAATTTAAACCGACCAAAAAGAAAAATGTCGCTTCAGCGCATGAAGTTTTCTTAAACAGTTCCTGTCAACATCTTAAATTGTCAAGTACAAGTCGAATACACCAAATATTGATTCAGGAGGAAATAAGTAGAAATAAAGGCGATAATCACTTAATAGACAGACTCGCTTGCACAAATCTTGTACAATATGCAGTGGTGTAAAAATAAGCGGCTTTTGGCTAAAAAATCATGACAAATAAAGGAATATTGAAGATTTCTTCGGCCTTTAAATGTTAAGCCATCACGTCAGTACATATATAAGCATGCGTAAATCTAGTAAATTAAATTAAACTCTTGTAGCCTGCAGGATCGGATATTTAGAGAAATGAACGGAATTTAGATCTAAAAAGTGAAACTGCGTAAAGAGCCTCTCTCCGAGCAACATAAACATTTTCTTAAACGAAAATATAGTTGCTGCATATTATCATGATTTCTATATTGCGTTATACCTTTGATGTAAGAGAATGAGAAAACTTGTTTTTCATGAATGTACGTTGTACTGGCGACACTTAATACCTCATTTTCCCTTTGAATTCTAACGGGGCAAAAGGTACATGGATTAAATTAACTTTGATAAATGATTTTCTAAGAAACTGTTTCCCGTTCATTAATTTAAAACGTTAGCAGGCATAGACGAATTTGCGGAGATTGTTAATTCCCAAAAAAATCTGCAACTACCTAACATCTCATAGCAACAGAAATTATCGCGGGATAGAATGTATTTAAAATGCAATTAGATTAGACGCCGAATGACTAGTTCAAGGCTCGTGATTTGCCTGAAAAATTAAGGTAGTTGCAATTGCGATGCAACGGACTAATAATTACAAGATTGTGCGTCAGTGTTCCAACAATATAATCCTCTACAAGGAAGATAAATTAATTTCATATGTTTGTAACCACTGCAACATCAATCTTTATATGCTTTTATGTTGGGGCCGTCAAAGCGCCCTTTCTACCATGAAGTTCAAAGTTTATTGCTGATCTTCTTTTTCGCACGATCAAGCGGTAGCGCTTCATTTTAAAAACAGAATTTGCGCATGTGCGTCAGATATAGCAACATATCGTTTTGAGTAAAGGCCACTTCGAAGGCCTGCAAGATGATAGTATATGTTGTAGCGGTGAACAGGCTACGTACGTTGCCTTTGAAAAACAGAACTATGTGTATAAGTGTCCTGCCGGAGTTCAGCGCCGTACAACTCTGCATAAACTCCATTAAATCACTAGATGAGCCACTACACTCGCATTGCATGCCCCATCTTCGATCTTTTTTTTACTTCAGCAGGATTCTCAGTCCCACTTTAGTGAAGAAGTTGATATTCAGCCGAATTCGCTGTTGCAAGCGATTTTAAAAATTGCGAAATCTATTTATCTTTATTTCTTCTTGCATTATAAATTATCAATCCTCTGCGCTTTCCTCAGCAAACCGTTAGTCGCCTGAAATCAAAAGACGGAAGAAAATTCTTGAGATACCGCGCCACTGTTAACTTAATCAGGTACTAAATATTAATAGTTATGATCAAAGCAGTCGTTCTGGCATAACAAGCGTTCCTGTTCTTATGATAACTGGCGATCGGTGTCTGACTTAAAGGCAGCTTTTAGTAGATAATTTTTAAAGACCCAGCCATTCGTCAGTTTGGCTGACCTGCTTCAAAAAAGGTGAGCACCCTCTGCTGTCTTCGAAGCACAGGGCACCTAGATGTGCGTATTACGTCAACAAATTAAAATTTTGTTACTCCTTTTGATACAACCATTAATTCAATGTTCAAACCATGGAGTACCCTGCTATCGAATTATCGGTCTGCAAACTTATCACTGTCACGTATGAAACAAAGACAATGTCACAAGACCCATTACTGCGGCTTTTCAATTGAAACTTTACACTACAATTCTTTATTAAAAGTTACACGAATATAGAAAGCTTTATGAAAGGACGTCTGCAAATTGGAGTCAAACCGTGGACGAATGATGAGAAAAGCAGGCTCCTCGGTCGCTGTAAACTCTGAAGCATAAGCTGTGTGATTCGAAGAAGATTCAAGCAAAGCGATGCATGGGTATTAACTATCAATTAACTTATATTTCATGTACAACACGTTGAAACAAATACGCATTCAACTTTTAATTATAATTGACATAACATTAGGCACGGACTAGAGTGCACGACTATTGTCCAATCCGAAGCATTAATGGTACCTATCTATCCTTAATCTCGTGGTGCTAAGCCACTCAGCGTGATGAATTTGTCCCTTTCCCTTTTTGCTCGAGAAGCCTTATTGGAAAACAGTTCTACTGCAGATACAGTTTTGCTGAATTTTTAAAGTACAAATATACAGGAGAGTATGTTGTATAGCCATGTGTAGAAATATAGAGCGGGGGAAACGGATCGAAGTTCGTTAATAGGTTTTACGGCCTAATTTAGAGAACTAACTGCTAAGCCTTATAATGGATTTCTCACGCCCTGCTTGTTATAATTTCAGCTGGTGGAGAGAGTTTGAGACTGAAACACTTTTTTGCCATGAGCAGACGACTGCCTGCGACATGATCGAGATACCGGAGTAGGTGTTTTCGGTACTTATGAACAAACAAGGAGAAATCTTTTATTATAATCTCTTTTGCGTTGAAGCCTCGATTCACTCCTGGGGGATCCAACCTATCTTGATGCATTCGAATTTGTAGATCGTACAATGATCGCGCGTTCGTCAATACGTTCTAAATTACCTTATGATGAATGAAGAGCAATTTCTTAGCAATTGAATTTTGAAATTCTTCTGGTGCCGATGCAAATTTAAATTATTACTAACATTGAATCACATTGAGCTAGGTCTTATTAGGCCAAACTTTGTTGGTGACATCTTCAATTGACAGTTCCGGTTCATAACATTGTAATGATCTGCATGACAAAGACTACAAGCAGTAACCATTCATTTATGATGCACTTGTACCATCGATATCAATGAGTAACAAAATATGATGGGCCAGTCAGAAAATAATTTCAAGTATTCATAATGCTACTTAACAAATGACCGTTCGTTCACTACATCAGTTGTGCTGTTCATATCTGACCATGTGTGGCCAATGTAAGTAAAATACCTGCCTGACAGTCTATTCAATGTCCCAAATTTCTTGAACTTTTGAGGCCATCCGGTAATTTCTGCCCCTAACCGTGCTTCAAACTTCTCTTTCGACCGGAGGGCACCTAGTATATTCGCAAAATTAATGATCCATTGCACAGATTCAGATGGATCCAGAATATGTGGCATAAACATGAAAGCGCAGATTCTCAATTGGTCAAGTTAACATATTCCTTTAACATACTTCAG